CTATTGTTGTTTATATATCTGTAATTATGATAAAACTGAATATATTTCAGTCTTTTTCAGAATAGCAAAGTTCTTTCTATCACAACCATTTATTTTTCAAGCCAACATTTCAATGACCTTCTGTCATCTTCATCAGGGCAATTCTGACTGGTTTACTGTGCACTGACACTAGATGTTACTTGGTGCATAGTGCACTAAAGGTGTTACATACATAGTTCATAGTGCACTATGCACCAAGTAACATCTAGCGTCGGTGCACAGTAAACCAGTCAGAATTGCCCTGATGAAGATGACAGAAGGTCATTGAAACGTTGGCTTGAAAAATAAATGGCTGTGATAGAAAGAACTTTGCTATTCAGTCATTTACCAACCTGATGAAATTATTTACGGATGAATATATTTCAGGTCTCAAACGGCCAAAGTTTCCAAACAATGATGTATGTGACCATGTGACTGCCGGAAGACACATCCCTCAGATAGTGATACACCAAAATCCCTGGGCTTCATGGAACTGAATGCTTGATAATACTGTGTGATATCTAAAGTGGAATCCAATCAACAACATCTATCTGTCCCTCAATCCAGGCCTCTCTATCTATACTCCAATCCTCTTCATTCTCCAAAGTACAACCCTTTTTAAAGGTAAAGGTAAAGCATGTCCAACTTGAATGTAGGACTTGAGATGATGAGGAGTGTTTTTTCGATAGCTAGGAGTGCAAAGCAACTTCACCGCAGTTCACATTTTCAGAAAAGGGCATGCCAGGTCGCCCGTACCATTAAATACATCAATAAGTGCGTTGGGTTCTTTTACCTCATATTAATAATGCATTAAACATTCCCTACATAGGTCCTCATCAAAAACAACAAATGCAACCCATCACAAGCATGCCCAGCGGGGCTTGAACCCCATCCCTCTGGATCCGCGGGATTTGATCCTTGTACACAGTGCCCTGCCTGCCCTATGTTTTTGTTACCGCACGTTGGACTCCTAATTTTGATTTATGTCAGAGGACACTACAGGTAACTACTAGCACTCCAGCTGTCATAGTGAGGTTAAGGATTACTTTACTTTACCAGAAGTCTACGGCTTTTTTGAGTTCTTGCCATCACATATGGAAGGCATATGAACAACCTTGTTCCAAGTGCAGCATGTGCACAGTATGCTAACGTCATGAGAATTTCTCATCTAACGTTTGAAAAGGGAAATTCTGTACTCAGGTGGCAAAAGAATATTATGTAAGTGCAATTAACAAGAACTTTCGACATGCTGATACAATGTACAGTTTATAGGTAACCTACCTTTAAAGTATAGGTCATATGCCACCAATTAACCTGGGTTACAGTGTGTTAATGTTACATCTAAAAAAATTACATGGTTTAGTTGTGCCAAAATCTCAGACATTTTGGCAGTGAAGACACATTTGCTCTTACTAGAGGTAGCCTTGAATTGCTACCCTGAAGGGCAATATAAAACCAGAGAAAGTCACGTAAACTTCTCATTTTACATCCACCATGTAAACATCATCATCACTTATCTATAACCTCTTCCTATAGGTCACTTCATCCTGGGAGTTGAGCGGCAAAGGAGACTAGAGTGGTATTTTTCTAGACGCCTAAATGTCTGTATGGATGACCTTATATGCCAGGGATTGAGATAGCAACTTATTATGACCTAGAAAGCAGGGAATGCTGAAAATTGTAGATATTACATAATTCTCACAACATGCAACACTGAAGCAATTTACTGACAAAAATGTATTTGGAGCCCTGAAACTGTGTTTCTTTCTAGTAGACAATAAAGGAAGACACAGCTTTTATATATGAACAAGAGTGTGTTATGACTTAAGCATCAAGCCAACAATGACGCAAGTAACAGTATTCTGTATTACATAAAACCTTTTGGCATTCAACTGTAAAAGTGCAGGGCTCATAATATGTATAAGCCTTCCATTCTGTACTCTTTTATCTTACAGCTTTGAGTCTGACCTACAATTTGTACTTTAGTTCACATGAAATGTTATACAAAATGTATTATGTAATATCGCAAACTTTGAGATTGTTACTCGGATTAAGCAACTGGGTAGCCCCTATCCAGTTGCTTGAGGGACAATTTCCTTGTGTATCTCATTACCAGGATGTCTAATAACTTTTGTCGAAGTACCAAGTCTCCTTTCAGGAACTGTAGAAAAGGCCATAACTCAATCGATAATCACAAATCGATACATATACTGTCTGTATTCTCATCTCTATACAAATGTATAGGTAATCATTTGTTACAATTTCCCAAGTTATCGAGTTAAAACAGATAGGGGACTTCATCATGGCCCACGCCAAATTGGAATATAGGACAAAACTTCCCTTTAAGTCAGACAAATACGGGTAGTAATTTTATAAAGACACAATGATACATGACACAATAAAATTCAATCACGATCGTTGTCAATTATAGACATTATATATGTCTGTATTTCTTCATATTTGAAAACAAAAAAATACAGACATATATTGATAATGATATCCTGTTGGCAAATGAGAAGTAAGCTGGCATCCAGGCCTGTTGGCAACATACATGCTGTAACATGCATGAATGCATGACAATACAGTGTGAATGTGACATTTTCATTTATACCTGGGCCACGATTACGTTCGATACGGGTGTTCCAGCCCATGTGATAACTAGCGATACGGCTTAGGGTTCTTTACGCGTACAGCCTGGGCTTTCAAATGTTCCGTAGAATAATTCGAATGCATCTCGTGCGCACCAAGTGATCCGCTTCTGAAACTTCGAATACCGAATTCGGATGATGGAATTGATGCTGTTACACCTTTTGTTCAGATACACCAAATTTAGGCACATTTCACATTGAAATGTCTGCTCTCTCTGGTGGGTATGACATACTACTAATAAAATACTACACGGTGTATTCTGCATCACCCTCGCTTCCAGCCCTCCCAAGGATCAGATCTCCCTCCGGCCCTGTAGTATTCTGGTCTGTGTATCTGGGGCTAGAAAAACCCCTCAGTGTGCAGGCATAGTGACACTGCCAGCCCATGCACGGGTGACATTGACATTGACAAAGTCATGGGCACCAAGCCAGAAACATAACCATGTGTGCCATGTTATCTAATCTACTTTTAATCAACATCAGCACACTCAAGTACATCCTATAACCAGCTTGGGATATATAGATCATGCTTTGAAAGTTTGAAACCGAGTTCTGAAACTTCATCTTCTGGTACAGAAACTTGACTATTCTTTATTGATTAAAGATACTGGTGGTTATCAAAACAGTCTTGGTAAATTCTATTGGAACATCTATACAAAGACAATTCAAACTCTACCACTGGATAAATCATGGAGACTTCTGGATGTTTTGAGTGATATCTCCTTAGTGTGTGAAAGTCCATGGTTTCATCTGCAAGCCTTTAAGGGAAGATTTCAATTTCAAGGTTGCTGAGACAGTTAAACTGACATTGTCTTATCTGGGAATGTTCCAAGTTTCCTGTTGTGACTACAGATTTGTGTATTATTGTACCAGAATAGATGAATCTGTACTTGAACTCTGAGCCTGTCATCTTGTGTGAGTAATCGTGCTGATTGGGCAGCCAATACGAGTTACAGGAAAGCACACCTGCAGCTCAGGAAACCAGACCAAAACAAGACTTCACACCCAGTCTGGGCCGAAGGAGGTAATTTACTGTGTTCTCGGAGTCAGTATTGTGCAGAGAAAATTAAATCATTCTAGAAAGGTAACATAAAATGCAAAGCAAATGCATAATGTTTACCTTCGCATATGGTCTGCTTTTAATTTTTACTCAAACACTGTGACATAGAGCTGTGTACCGGTACGCAGTACCGATACTGTACCGGAAAAATTGATTAGGTACAGGTCCAAAATACCTAATCCCTCAGTACCGGTACTGTACCTAAACAATTTCACACCAATTTTATGCCTATTTGTGACCTCAAATGTGTAAATAGCTGGTTAACAATGGGTCACTGTGTAAGGACAGTGTGTTCATGAAAACAAAAACATCTTTACTTTTACCTATATTTTATCTGAACATTCTCCATAAACAAAAATTAAACCTATATCAATGTTTTTCTTGTTATTACAGGAGTTCAGAAGAGCATATACATTGCTCGAATTGTTCAGGTACAGGTTCAGGTCCGGACCTGTACCTAAACCTGTGTACCTGTACCTGTACCTGTACCTAAAATTTGTTTAGGTACACAGCTCTACTGTGACACATTCATGTATATGGTCAGACAGGAGTCTAAATCCCTCCTGCTATAAAATTGCAACATAATGTAACCTAACACTAGTTACCATGGTAAGAGAGTCTGGTTCAGGTCATTGATCTTATTAGTTTGGAGAAGAAGAGAAAGAAACTGAGAAAAAAACAAAATATTTTCCTAAGATATACTGTATGACTACAACTTACAAGTGGAATTGTCTGGCATCATTGTAGTTGACTCATAACCTATAGGTCGTGTTGAAATCCTTGTGATCTCCTTTTTCTATCATGTCAATAATTCCTGATACAAGAAACAAATTCTGAACTGCCTAACCTTGAGAAAGGCCTTCTTCTAATCATATCTTACCTTCAGGAACTTGAAAAATTGCCAACACATTAATCTTATGATACTGACACTGATACTGTGCTAAATAAAAATGGTTATCAAAATTGAATATTAACTGAACTAAAATCATACTGGTTGTAGGCAAATATGTACAAATAATGTGTCTTACTCAAACACATTCATATACTAGTATATGGGTGACAGGAGTCTAAATCCCTCCTGCTATAAAATTGCAACATGATGTAACCTAACACTAGTTACCATCCTCTGGTTCAGGTCATTGACCTTTTTGGTTTGGAAAAGAAGAAGAAGAGGAAGAAACTGAGCAAAAACAAAATGTTTTCCTTCGGTAAATATGTAAACATAACAATGTGTTCAGTACACAGAAATGCAGAAATGGTGTAGAGGAACTGACTTTTCTCTGTTTTGACGGTGACTTGCGCCCTGTCCACCTCAGGCTGTGCGTTGTTTGTTGTAGTTTCCTGGAACAGACGGGTCGGTGTCTCCGCCATAGTCGTGTCCGCCATAGAAGTCATTCAAATCTCCAATCTACAGGTAAAAACGTTAAAAGAAAAAATTATTTCTCGATAACTTTAAATGGCGCATACCAGGTTTTATTTATTATTAATGGCCATTAAATCGTAATAATTTTGAATTATTTGGAAAGAAGGAATATGTTAGTCACTTCTAAAAACTTCATAATCTAAAATTTGCATATAGTTCATTTTATTTAGATATCTCTGAAACGTTTTAACAGTGGCTGTACCTTCCAGTTCTACACTAACGTTATAACGTCGTACAAAAATCAAACTGTTGTTTTGAGCTAAATCTAGCAAGTACAAAAATGTACCAGCACTCTACGCCAAGTATCGCCATATTGATCCAAAGAATCCTCCTACACAACTGACAACTTGGATCCATTAAACCACAGCCCCCGGACGCACACACATCTAACTTTGACCCACTGAATCTTTCCAACCATGAGCGCTGACCCAGTGATACAAAATCCTAACTCCGCCCCTCCCCCCAAGCACTTTTGTTGACGTATTTTCGTACCACAACAGAACTCAGAAACGTCAAGCAATGTTTCTACTTACTTGCACGCCGAGAAGGATGATTTGGGTCAGTAGAATTGTACCTGAATGGTCTTGATAAAGATAACGGAGCTAATCTACGTCGAGAAAAACACGGCATCGTCGGCAGCAGTCACTTCGAGGGAAACCATCAATCACATGCTTGTTTGGTTGCGTTCATATACTTAATCATTATGGAGTTACATAAAACGACGGGGAGTGTGGTTCGTAACACTCAGTGCAATTGTATCTACGTAAAGAAATCATAAATTAGATTTTAAACGAGGGAAACTTTCTTCTTGATTTAGTTCTTGCGACGTGAGGAAAGACAGTAATTATAATGTATCACTACGTTTGTTGCGTTTGGTTGCGCACGGAAGATTTCAAGAGGTCACTAGAGTTCAGAATGATACTAACAAAATAAAAGCTGAACAAAATGTCTTGCTTTGCTGAAATTATTGGATTTTTCTGTTCTTAAATGTCACCTAAGATCATATATCTTGTATTTAAATTCAGATCATGCCGAACTTAAATCGTGGTCTGCTCAGTGACTGAAAGAACTGGTAAACTAAAGGCCACAGGTGCTTCGTCCAACATTTTATTGTTTCATTTTGGTCTCTTAAGTTATCGGCAGAAAATCATGGAACAGGATAGCTAACTAAATTCTTTTATCATGGCGTCTTGGTGTAAGTTTTAAGAGCTACTAATTGAATAAAAGTGAGAACATAAAAATACCCTTTTTAGAGCCTTCCTAGAGTCCAAAGTTCGCCCAAATAAAGGGTCAAACAAAGGGTACCGGCCAAGAGCACACACGGTGACTCAGCTGTCTAGATCACACACCGGTCTACCCATAATGTTGGTTGTTTTCTTATGTATACTCATTATTTTACTCATCGCTACTCATCAACAATGATGCTCCTGGGAGATTAGCGTTGCTACATCGTATCCAAGGTTTTAAATCTAAATGTACTTAAACGATTACGATTGATATCCTTAGCGAAACGACGCATACAATACTATGATATAAAAGATTAGCAGTGAATCTACGTTCTACTTTTCTCCATGTTTAACCCACAATCTGACCTAAATAGCGTTATACAACGTCCATTATGTGAGGCATTACGAACTACCCCAGATATTTAGTCTATCAACAGAATGTTACATACTTACACTACAGCCAAGGCTAGACAAGCAGTATGTTGTTGTCACACAGCACACGACAGGTGTAGCGCCACGGTGCTGTGAATTTATGGCTCAGGTCAAACCGTTTGAAAACAGGAGGTAATGCAACAGACGTTCCTACTAGGGTACAGCTGTTGCGACTACTATATGGAAGCTTATATAATGAGTTCTAACACTCCCTCTAGCATAGCCTCCAGACGGAACACCTTTCCCTGACGACACCGTCTGGACAGTTGACTTTTCGAGGGTCTTTTAGGAGTTTCTGTGTTTCTGGTTTATCGATATCATTTTTGTATTGTTCTTGAAGGTTAACTTTGCTGTGGTATACACGCGCATATATTTCTGTAAATTTGAATTACATACTTTTTGATGATAAACAGAATGAAATGTAAGGCATTATTGTCACGCACGCAAATGACCACGTGGGTATCCTTTATTCCAAGCAAGTTTTCATAAAAACCCTATCCTCGGCCCATGTATGCTGCATCGCCAGTGAGCCGAGGGAGAGTGAAAAATGTCCCGTCAAAATGTGTGCCCGACGTGACAGACAGTTTTTTTTCCTTGTTTTTCTCGACATTAACGCGTCACCAGTTGGCGAACTGTCGCAGCGGGCGCCAAGAATGACTTCCTGGCCAAACCAACAATGTGCGCGTATATTTTTCACCATTTTGAACATGAACGAGGAACATCGTAGACCTACAAATATACTTCAACGTAGATTTGCGTCAATTGAAAAACAAGTGTTAGACTGAGCGTGAGAGAAACACGTGCTCACTGTGGCACGTGGCTGGTAACAGGTGAACAGGTTGTTTACCTCGGGTGTATCACGTACAGGTAACCAAATAAGTCAGGTATCAGTTTTCTTACTGGAAACAGAAAGCAGATACTAGTAATAATTTTCGAATCACATAAAGTGCCCCCCCCCCCCGAAAAAAATCAACTTCTTGTTGTCGGTGGAAGTTTTTTGATATACATGTAACGTTACAATACTAGTAGCTGAACGTAAGAACTTGTTTATCTGAGATGTAACTTATCTCTTCTCGATACAGCTAGTACGACGTGTGTTGGGTTCTTTTACGTGCAGAAACTTAGCACGACCGAAGCTCCTTGTACATATTGCACCCACGACATACGGCCAACATGTAGGCAAGTAGGTCGCCTGTGTACACAATTTCTCGCTTCCCAACCCTAAGTTGGCCCTTGGGGGCTGTCGCTAGGGGCTGGCCGCTAGGGGCGCTATTTAGTCACTCCAAAGAAGTAGGTTACATCAAAAACAAATGACGTAACTTTCCTGAACTCTTTGACCTTAGCAGGCGGACTTTGAGCAACCTTAGATCACCTTAGCCTGTTGTTCCACGTGTACGCCCACGTAACTCCCATTATGTGTTCACGTGTTTTAAAACCGGATAAAAGGTCGATAGACCGAAGAAATAACGAAAACAGGAACCTAAAAAAAATTTCTCATTACTAGACTTACCATGGAAGTTAATGCGTAAAATATTACTTTCTGTCGATTATTATTATTATACAAAATGATGAAGATTCTCATACAATAAATGCACTGCAATTCTATAGTCATCTGTGATAATACGATTATTTTCAAACTGGTCCAGTTTTATAGAGCAAAAGCAGCTTTAAAGCAAATTGTTGAAACAGATGTCTCAAAAAAAGAATATGGATGAGTCAAAATCCCCAAAATTCTGACGGAAAATGGTTACTGGAAGGGCCCTGGGCTGATCATTTTAGGCTAGTACAACAGTCAACTAGCATGCCATATGGACCAGTAATGGGCTGAGAATGGACTATTTCTTGAGTAAAACGGTGCAATGCTGAAAGGACCTTTAATACTGCACCATATGCCCCTCTCTACTCATTTCAGTTTGGAAACTTGCCAAGTGTGAAGTCAGCACATAGCCCGTGACATACGGGGTTGCCTAGCAACTAGCCTCCACCTTCCAGGTTACCAGCGGTCATAGCTCTATTAGGGACTTGAGTGACAAGCAATTATACTTATAAGGCTTTGAAGTGTTTTACAGTTCATGGTAACAAGGTCCACGAAAGGTTTTTTTTTTACCAGACAATTACATTTGTCAGAAATAGTCAGGCTACTCGCTGTGGGAAGAATATGTATTACAGACAATCACCAAGATCAAAATTGATTCCATTTTTCAATTTCATTGGACGTTCTTGCAAGCTGATGTTGACTGGGACGTCAAAGTGGACAAGTGGTGGGTTGATTAAAAGCGCTCCTTGCTGCTCTCCCACTTACTACCAGTGGTAGCTAGCGAAATGATAGAGTGGGCAAATGCTACAGGGGATGGCACCCAGGCTAGGCAAACATATTAGTGCAGGGAAATTCATGTCCAGCCACTGCAAAATGAACTCCAGTTGCTAGAGGGCCCCATTGACACGTCAAATTTAGAACCAAGGACAAGGGCAGTAGTCTCCTGGTGCCAAATTCAGTACCAAGGACCTGAATATGAATGCAACAAGAGATGGGAAAATTGATCATCGTATTTCTTAGTCACTCCAGGAAAATGAAAAAAAAGCAAACAAAGCCAATAATAATGATAAACTTTTTCTATCTAAGTATCAAATGGACTAAATCTCCACATAAGTACAAGAAAGACTGGGGAAAATGTTTTATTTAGCATCTTAGCACTCTGAGAACTCTAAGGAGCAGTCTTCACTGACCTTAACATGGGAGTTAATAACAATTCTATCAACATCTATTTCTAAATGTTGACTAAATTATTTCAATTCTCTTTTAGCAAACTTAAGACCTTACCTTAATAAAATTGGTGTACAAGCTCTCTATTAAACTAATAATTATCATTATGAGATCTTATACAGTTTCTTTAGTGCATCCAATCTTGTGTTAATCTGTTCTATCTCACTGCTGTCCGTAAGATCATTTGTAAGTTTTTCCAACAGTTCCTTCACAGCTTGACTCTCCTTTGAGCTCAGAAAATCCACAGACAATTCAAATCTTCCAACTTTCGTCAAGCTGTCTAAGACTTGGTACACAAAACCAGAGTCTTCCTGCACGTAAGAGTTGTTGAGTGCTGTGAGGATCTCCCCCAACAGTCCAAAGCTGATTTCATTCTTGAAGATGTTGGCAAGTTGCTCTCCTCCGATCTTCTTGATGAACTTGTACTTGTCTGGCGTAGTTTTGCAGTAGCGTTTCCAGTCGCGAGCGAACTCGTGGCCATTTCTAGGCAGTTTCTCTTCATCCTACAAAACAAGAAAAAAATGATTAAACAGTGACATTTTTATATGTTTACAAGCTTATGTAGTAATATGTAACTTATGATAAAGAAGGCTCTGTCCCTGTGGCATTGCCAAAAACAATGAAGAGTCGTGTGGCATAACGGTAGAGTGCTCTACTCAGAACCAAGAGGTCCTGGGGTCGAGTCCTGACATGCCACCAATCTTGTGTTTTAATAGGAAAGACACTTTACATGACTTTCCTCACTTAACTCAAGACAAAATGAGTATTGTCCTGTCCTGTATTTGTACTCTGTATTGGTGGTGGCATAAAATAAGTTGATATAACTTGATTGTGCTGTCATCATGTTTGGTCATGAAATGTTGGATTATATAAAAACAACAACAACAACAAAAAAAACAACAACAACGAAGTGCGGACCTGTTTAATCTGCTGCTGTGCAGTGTTCTCCCTGTCTGCCTGTGTTGTAGCGTGGACGTTCCACGGCTGCTTCACGTCCATGTTCTGTAGGTTGTCCTTCTTCTCCAAGGGTCGCAGGTGGGAAGCCAGAACAATGTCCCTGTGGGGGGAAAGTGTGTGTCGTACAATATGGCAGCTTAGGGAGTACTCTCCAAGCAGAGGTTTGGGCTTATTTTTGGTATGTTTTTAGGCTTTTTTTTATCAGGGTTTCTCTTTTGCACTGGAATTTTTGTGTTAAGAAAATTCCAGTGCAAAAAAGAAACCCCTATAAAAAAAGCCTAAAAACACACCAAAAATAACCCCAAACCTCTGCTTGGAGAGTACTTAGGGAGGGTCTGCATGGGGGTCCCAACAACACTCTACTCTACGCTTAAAAATTTGAGAGCCGGCTACGTATTATGCTGAATTCAAGAAGCCTCCCCATTACATTTTACGATAAATTCTGGGTAGCTACAAATAAAGCATTACATGGGATCAAAACGGCGAATTATGCTCTACGTTGAATTAGGTCGGTCCATATATGGTCTATAGAGGATTGAATCAGCCAATTACCCTCTATGGAAAAGGGTATGGGGGGCCTCTCTTAGGGGGGAAATTAGACAAGGTAGAGACAACACCAAGGGGCAAAACCTGGTGAAACAACATGAACCAAGTGAGACACAGCACCTAGTGACCACGTTTAGCAAGATTATAGACGTTGAACGAGGACAACTACATATGGTATGCCAAAAAGCAGTTACTCAAGCAACTGGATATGATTTTGAAAACGTCAGATGTTTCAGCTAGTATCCACTAGCTTTCGTCAGTGACTGAGAGACCAGAGGGGAAAACAGGTTTATAAGCACAACCTATTGATTGATATGCAAATAAA